GCCTAGTACATTCATGCGATTAATGAATCATGTTTTGCGTGCTTTCATTGGCAAATTTGTGGTTGTTTATTTTGATGACATTCTGATATATAGCAAGAGTTTAATTGAACATATTGAGCATATGCGAATGGTACTAGAGGTGTTGAGAAAACAAAAGTTGTTTGCTAACCTTAAAAAGTGTTCTTTTTGCACAAATCATATTGTTTTTTTATTACAGCACCATTAACTAATATTGTGAAAAAAAGTGTTGGATTTAAGTGGGAAAGTGAACAAGAGAATGCTTTCAATTTAATTAAGGAAAATTTAATTTCTGCACCATTACTGGCTTTACCTGATTTTACTAAAACTTTTGAAATTGAATGTGATGCATCAAGTATTGGCATTGGTGCTGTTTTGATGCAAGAGCGGCGACCTATTGCGTTTTTCAGTGAAAAATTGACTGGTGCAGCACTTAACTATCCTACTTATGACAAGGAGATGTATGCATTGGTAAAAGCTTTAGAGACATGGCAGCATTATCTTTGGCCTAAGGAGTTTGTGATACATACCGATCATGAGTCGTTGAAGCACCTAAAGGGACAAGGTAAGTTGAATAGATGACATGCTAAGTGGGTGGAATTCCTTGAGACGTTTCCCTATGTGATCAAGTATAAGCAAGGAAAGGAAAACATTGTGGTTGATGCATTATCTCGTAGGTTCTTGAAGATGGCACACTTTCATTTCATGTCATAAAACTGACAATGCAACCAATATTTCGGATCTATTCTTCAAGGACGTTGTTTGTTTACATGGCATTCCAAGGACAATCATTTCTGATCGCGATGTCAAGTTCTTGAGTTACTTTTGGAAGACATTGTGGGGAAAGCTGGGAACTAAGCTACTGTTTTCGACTACTTGTCATCCACAAACTGATGGACAAACAGAAGTGGTTAATAAGACATTGTCAACCTTATTGCGTGCTATTATTCAGAAGAACTTGAAGAACTGGGAAGAGTGTTTGCCGCACGTTGAATTTGCTTATAACCGGAGCGTCCATTCAGCAACTAATTGTTCACCATTTGAAGTTGTGTATGGTTTTAATCCACTCACTCCTTTAGATTTATTGCCTTTACCTATTGACGAACAAGCTAGTTTGGATGAGTAAAAGAAAGCTGAAGTGGTTAAGCAACTGTATGAGAGGGTGCGACAAAACATAGAGCGATGAACTGAGCAGTATGCAAAACAAGCTAACAAAGGATGCAAGAAAGTTGTATTTGAACCTGGAGATTGGGTTTGGGTGCATATGCACAAGGAGCGATTCCCTGCACAAAGGCATTCTAAGTTGCAACCAAGAGGCGATGGACCATTTCAAGTGATTGCAAGGATTAATGACAACGCATACAAGTTGGAGCTTCCTGGTGAGTATAATGTTAGTGCTACTTTTAATGTTTCTGATCTTTTTCCGTTTGATGTAGGTGACGATTTGAGGACAAATCCTTTTGAGGAGAGAGGGAATGATGGGAATCAAGACGACAGCATATCTACTACGTCATGTGATCCATTACGCACCCAAGGAGGTCCAGTCACACGAGCTAGAGCTAAGATGCGTGAAGCTTTAAATGGCCTTATAGAGCAGATCTGGGTTGAAAACAACATACAACAAGCAAATCGAAGCTTGGATGATTATCAAGGCATGGTAAACATCATTCAAGTTCAAAAGAAGCTTCGTTGAGGTCATTTGCACGGAATTACATAGTTTGCGTCAAAATCGCACAATTCTGCCGCAACTTGTAGCAAACTGATATTTCGTGTTATTTTAGGTTATTTTTAGTGATTTTCACATTTTTGTATTATTCTTGGGCTGAACATTCGCTTATTTGAAGCCCAATTCATGGTTATTAGGTTTAGGACTTAGTGTGTTAGTTTCCTATTCTGATTAGGATTTGTTTTCGCTATTTAAAAGGCTTATAACCCTAATGGGGAGGGGGGGATTGAATCTGAGATTTTGAGAGACTTTTCTCTTTGGTTCGTTTCAGAACTTTACAGAACTTATCAAGATTATTCTTATGGCATTCTAACCTGACTTATCATCCTCGTTCTTAATCGTTCAAGGGTATGGCGTCAACCAACTTTATACCTCTGGTTCTTGTTGCGTCATAGACAACGGGTCAAGGTTTTTACCTTTGGTTCTTGTTGTGACATAAACAATGGGTCAAGGTCCTATCATAAACCTGATTTAGCTTTCTTGGAGTTTAGAAATCCCTTGTCGTGCTGTGGGTCTCATTCTTCTCTTTGGGGTTCTCATCAGGTCCTTAATCAATTCCTCGCTGTTGATCTTAGCTGGAGACTAAAAAATTGCCTCTTAATCATATGCTTCTATTGAAACCTAATGTGAAGGAGGCATTGACGGACTTGGCAACACTAGTGGGAAAACATTTTACAGTAGGAATGGGGTTCTTATTGATATCAAATCATTTGGGACAGTTCAGTGGACTACGATATCAAGAAGCTCGATTGAAGATACTACAACGTGAAAAGTTAGTTGCTTTTATTCTTATTCCTTGATTAAATGAGTAGGGTTTTCATTGGTTTTCTTATGTGTCATTCTACTAGTTTTGCCATGGGTTTTATTTGAGGCTCAAATTAGCGCTTAAAATTTGGTGTGTTGAGAATTGGGTTGTGGGAAGTTGATTGGAGCTTTCCTTATTTTTTCATATATTTCACTTTTCTTGTTTATTGTAGCTTTCGTTAAAGACTCAAATATATGCTTAGAATTTGATTGGGTTTTGTGTGAATCAGATATCCTAATTGTGGCCCAATTGAAGGGGAAAGAAATAATGTTGAATGGTATGTGATGGTTAACCTGCTCTCATCCCGTGAAGAGAGCTCAAGGCAAAAGATGTAAAGAATATTGGATTTGTATTCTCTTGAATTATTTAGTACAGCATTGATATATACATATAGTATTATAGGAATATGTTTGCATGCTGAATTTGTGACTCATATCAAGCTTATAAACATTGCCCCTTGTTGCTTTGCCTTTAAATTGCTGAGATTGTTTCCCTCTCTTTCTTGATGATTATTTCCTTATTTGATTCTGGTTTTAATTCCTTGAGCTTGGCTTCTTGCTTCACACTGTGGTCTGTTTAAAGTTGGTGAGATGCTTAAAGTACCATCACCATAAAATAAAGGGTATTGTCTGAGAGGCATTGGCCAATCTGGAATTGGTGGAACTTCAATATCTCTTCCCAACAATATTTTCAGTGCATTCAAAATACAAGGCCTTGAAGCCACCAAACCTATGCAAAAAAAGTAAAAAATTGTTAATTAATTTTAAAAATATTTTATACAATCTAAAGTACATCAATTTTTATAAAATCAATTACTATTAACCAGAAAAAGGCTCTTGTACATCTACTCTCTCTACAATGATTAATTTATTTACTTTAAAAAAAATAACAAATTAATTTTGAACTTTAATTCCTAATTTCCATTTTTGCCACTTAGAAAACATAATGCTAAAAGACCAATCGGTGCCTACTCCCTAGACCAATTGGTCCTATAGTTTTTTTTTTTTTTATTTACTTTTTCTTTTAGGTTTGATAGTTTAAAATTTTTAATTTTAAGTTTTGCAATTAATTTCTAAACTAGTACTAAATATTTAATTTTAAATATCAAACCCTAAACTCTAATAGTATAACCCCTAACATCCTAAATTCCAAACTTTAAAATCTAAATTCTAACATCATAAATGTTAAACTTTAAAAAATTTAAACCTTAATAACTTAAATATTAAATATGTAAATTCTAAATCCTATCATTGTAAATATTGAGCTCTAAAAAGTCTAAATCCTAACGTTGTTAATTTCTAAAAGATTTGAACCTACAAGTCAAAAATAGAAAACTAAAAATTGTTTAAGAACTAAAATGAGTATAAATCACTAAGGGCAAGGATCACTTTCACATATTTTACCATAAAACATAGAAAGCAGATGAACAGATGTGGGCCTAGTTAGGCCTCGTGGGCTTCTGTCCTTCTAGAATTATTCTAAGAATTAGTCGTGGGAGCTTAACCCCTATATCAGTAGGGTTTATCTTCTTCTTCCCCAAATTGCCCCTCCTCTTTGATCGTTGTAGTGGCAATTCAAAGCCTAAACACAAAGATTTACAAGTGCTTCCTCTATAACTCTCTTTTCATTGATGATTATTTTCCTTGTTCGGCCAAAATGAACAAAATCTTCGTTTGATTATTTTGCGTTTAAAATGGATTTTATATCTCTCTCCATAGTTTTATGAATGTTCCTTCTCTCTTGTTAGTGTAAAGGTTGTTTCTTTTTTATCAATTAGCACTAAGAATTATAATTTTGGCTTTAAATTTTAAAAAATCCTTTGAATTTGTTGGATTTTATTTTCTTTCAATGATTATAGAAAGGAGTGAATTTAAACCTAAGTTTGAGCTATGTGTAATCATATTATTAGAGTTAAGTTTGGTCATCTTTTGCTCTAGATTTGTTCATGATAATTGCGCATTATTTATCATTCTTTTACTATATATGTAAAGCATAAATAGTCTTCTATCATAACTCAAATTTTTATCAAAAAGAAAATATACATAAATCACAAAAATTAATCAAATATCATAAAAATTTATAAAATGTCAAAACAAACACAAAAATATAAAAAAAATGAATTTTTGTCTTTTCTTTAACTAACATATATCTTATGTTGTTTTTAGATGCTACATGCAAAAAGAGAAAATTTTGTGAAAAATTTTGAAAAAAAGAAACTCAAGAAAAGAACTTAATCGAAGAAATTAAAAAAGTTGAGGATGAAATCTACCAAGACAAACCCACAAATCCAACCCAAACCCCAATATTGAGCCCACCTGTAATGTAATTCAAGCCTAAACTCAATATCATAAACTAGCCCATTAAAATCCAAACCCAAAAAACCCTAGCTTTCCTTTCGCTTTAAAAGGGGAAGGAACAGACCAAAAAA